TATTGATGGAACCCACCTGGCCAAGACTGTGGCAACTCTGAATCCAGAAACTACATTGTTCATTGTAGCATCAAAGGTATATGCAACTGAAACTCAATATTTTATTTGTCCAAATTTTATGACCTTTTATATTTAGTCATGGTTTATTATCAGTTAAAAAATGAAAAGCATAATTTTCTTTGTCACATATTAGCTAGTCTTTTAAGATCTATGTCTAACCATCAAGCTTGGCATCCACTGGGTACACTTTGTTTTGTTCAAATTTACTTTGCTCTAGGGTTTTGTCCATTTCCTGTACCTTCATTTGATAGGTCTTAATTAAGCTTTGACTGTCTCTCCTTCACTACCGGCAAAATTTCATTAACAGAATGGTAAGGTTTGTCTCAGACAAACTTTGAAATAGCACTCTAATTTATTATAATTACTTTGTTTTACTGGGAGTTGAACAAGGGGTTGAGATACTGAGAAGTTGGTTGATAACTCTTAACATCTTCCAAAGAAATTGATTTCCAGTTGTAGCCTCAGTCTATTTGATTAACCCTTTGGCTGGTTAGAGTGACTAGCATTAAATTTCTCCTTACATTATCCAGTAACAGAGGGAACTATTGCCAATTAAAGAAGCTCTTGACTGTTAAACAAATTCTCCTTGTCAGTACCTCAGGAAAAGTATAGAGAACAGTGTGGAGAATTTCAATACTGATGTCAGGGTGTAAAGGGTTTACTCCTGCAGCCACCTTATTGTGGATATCATTGAGTTTCTTTTCGAGTTATTCACATACAGCTACTGTAAGTCAGAAGTTAAGAATGGTAATTTTTTTTCTACAGACATTCACCACCATAGAGACCATTACAAATGCAAAATCAGCAAGGGACTGGTTGCTGAAAGAGTTGAAGGATGTATGTTTGCCTTGCCCTTTTATAAAATTATTTAGATTTCTATTTATATCCACCTATGATTAATACTTGAGAGCAGCACAGATGTTGTTTAGCCTCTATACTGGCATCTGGAAGTCAATATTTGGTTCTATGTAATTTTTGTCGATGACATCAAAGTGTAATCAAAAAGCAGGTTCTTCTTATTAACATTTTTAAGAACAGCCTATACTTATTGTTTGATCAGGTCATGTGGGTGTTAATGACTTTGTACTTTCCATCTGTTGATAGAATTCAGCGGTAGCGAAGCATTTCATCGCTCTTTCTACAAATGAGGTATGGATGAATAAATTTTGGTGCCTATTTAGTTAATTCTCATTACATTTTGAGATTTAGCATAGGCAGCAAAAGACATATTTTCATATTCAAGTAATTATTACCCTCATGGGGTATTTACCTTTAATCGTAGCTGGCAGACTAAACTTACTGTTCAATTCTTAATTTGTATCAATTATTTGGTAAAACTGTTGGGAAAAGGCTAACTCATTAACATGAATTAGTTGCCCAGCAATTCTTCTCTAATTAATTATAAAGATAATGATAATGCCCTTAGTTTTGCATGCAATTTCTACACCTCAGTATCTATTATCTGCGCAATGTTTGGGATAGATTTCTTATTATTTAGCCCTGAAATTTTTATTTTTTTTCATAACCTCTCCTTTCAATAATGTAAGGAAAAATTCCTTGTTGGTCCTTCCTGGGATTGAATGAGCTCGGAAAGTGATGCAGCAATAACTCTCCCTAGAATTTTTCCTGTCTTGTTCAAACTTGAGATTAGGGCCTAGATTATTAGCCCTTTTTTTTCCACAGGTGGAAGTCACTAAATTTGGAATAGACAAGAAAAACATGTTTGCATTTTGGGATGTAAGTACAACTTTTATATGTATGTATTTAACCCTTGAACTCCCAAGATCTGATTGTTAATTCTCCCTGCTAACCGCTACACATTTTCTTGTAAATTGATTATGAGAATTTGGTGTTCAATCTAGGTTATATATTGAACCTGATAGGTTTGAGTATTCTCATTTCCTGTTTGCTAGATAATGCATGGATACTGTAGGGAAAAGTTGCATGTTAATCACTTGTGGGAGTTAAAGAGTTAAAGAACTTTGATTATCTTCCTTGGAAAGAGGTTGGGTGGTTGAAGGTTTTAGAAAACAAGAGACATGACTATTTCCTAATAATTAAGTGATCTGTATTTCACTTTCATTTATTTCCTTTTCAGTGGGTTGGAGGACGATATTCTCTTTGGTCTGCCATTGGAATGTCAATTGCTGTTTACATTGGTATAAATCTGACTTCAGTGAATCATTGTTATTTTTGATCCATAAGTGAATTGATCAATCCATTAGTCAATTGATCCATCATTATTAATTCAGGTGGTCAATCAGTCTGTTGGTCAGTGACAGTCAGTCAGTCAGTCAGTCAGTCATATTAGGTGGTCAGTCAATTTGCCAGTTAGCTGCTCAATCAAGCATTTAATCAGTTAACATCAAGCAATCCACTATATCAACCAAGAAATGATCAAATAAACAATAATTAAAATTAATTATTTGTTCAGTTAGTTGGTTGTTCAGTTAGTTGGTTGTTCAGTTAGTTGGTTGGCCAGTGGGCTGGTCATGATCTGTCAGTCAGTCAATCAATTATATGCCATTAGTCAGTCAGTTTAGTTTCATACTTTCTCTGCAATAAATTCTTGCTTTATTTATATTACTGTATACCTATTCAAGCCTTATTATTTTAAACAACAAAAGTGGATGCCTTTCAGCATGAGTAGTGATAGCTTTTTTATTTGTTTGTGGTAGGAATGGATAACTTTGAAGCCCTTCTTGCTGGGGCTCATGCTATGGTTAGTACAATTAGGTGGTCAGAATGAACTCTTTTGTTCCTAAGATCTGATTTTTAGTTCTCCCTTCCAGTAGCTACACATTTGCTTGTAAATTTGTTAGTAGAATGTGGTATTAAATCAAAATAACAACCTCTACCTGATGAGTTTAAGCATTATCATTACCTGTTTGTTGGATAATATATGGATGTTGTAAGGAGAAATTACATGTTAATCACTCATGGGAGTTAAAGGCTTAAGCAAGGAACTAAAGAACTAATCAAACATAAAAGACAAGGGTGAGAGAAGAAATTTAAAAAATAGCCTGCAGAGCAGGTGTGATTTCGATGAGCGAGTGCTCAATATTTTCTAGGTGAAAATCATACCTACCATCTTTAATTTTTACTGCAGAAGCATAAGGCAGGGGAGAAAATGAAAGAAATTTGTGCCAAGGGGGTGAGCAATTAGTTAAAGGGAGGAGAGAGAAGGGGTGGGTCAATAGAAATCAAAACAAAAATAAACTTTTTACACCACTGTTACTGACCACTACTTTATGACAAAATGCCTCACAATATTTAATCTACTACACTACAATGTTTTTTTTTGTAGGATAATCACTTTTGTTCCACTCCTTTGGAGAAAAATGTAAGTATCCAATTTAAAGCACAGAATTATTTTTTTCAAATTTACATTTATCTGGTGCAGTGATTGTGGCTCAAGGAGGGGATGGCATTTATGATACTAGAGGGGATGGAAGAATATGTGAACTTATCAGGTAGTATTACATATTATTGAAAAATTCTCATGATATTATTGTTCATGTTATTTGCCCTCATCTGAGCTATTACATTTTGGATTTTTTATCGTTTTGGAAACAGATTCCAGTAATCCTGGGAATGTTAGGAGTTTGGTACAACAACTTCTTTGGTGCTCAGACACATGGCCTTTTTCCATATGATCAGGTGAGCACCTACTACCACTAAACTTCCCGTTTTCGTTTAAACTTCTTTACCTGTATACCCTGAAATAGTCTTAAATAACAGATTCACGTTAATTATCCTCAACGCTGCTTTGTTTGGGTTTTCAGTACATGCACCGTTTTGCAGCCTATTTTCAGCAGGTAAGAGTGAATGATAAACCAGTGTGTTTTCCCTTTAAGTATCTGGAGCAATCCGAAATTGTTTTACTCTAGTTTCGCTTAACTTAGTAATTTTTTTAAAAAACGCGCACCACCCTTTCAATTGAAAAAATGCCAGACAAAGTCAGTTGTGACCTGTTCTTCACTTATGTTTTCCCTCGCCTATGACCATCCTTGTGTCTTTATTTTAAGTTATTCTCATAGGCTTCATACAAATATATACCTTTGATCTGATTGTCTGATAAGTTTACTTTAAATTTGGTTTAAGGGTACTTGGGAAAAAATAGCCCAAGCTTTCTTTTTTTTTGAGCCGGTTTCTTTCCATAACACTTTGAAGAAGACAGGCATCTATTTTGACTTTTTTTTATCAGGGTGACATGGAATCCAATGGAAAGTATGTAACACGTAGTGGTGCGCATGTCAACTACTCCACCGGACCCATTGTGTGGGGAGAGCCTGGGACTAACGGGCAACACGCATTCTATCAGCTTATCCATCAAGGTAAATTACACCATGTTATGTATTTTGATAATGTTATTCAAGAGACGTAGTGATGTATTTTATGCTTACCACGGTACTGTAAGGTTGGCGAGGTCAGGTCTGGGTTGTGTTCATGAATGTGGGTGAGACACTTTACTTCCATGCTGCCACGAGTTTGTTGTAGTTTTTTATTCGTTTGTTTTATTTTTTTTGAGTTCGTAGAATAATATTTTGTGGTTTCTCACACGTCAAATGTACTTATGATACGCGTGATTTTTTCGCTCTCAAATCTTGTTCGCTTTCCTCTGTAGGAACAAAGATTATTCCAGCAGATTTCTTGGCTCCTGTTGAGACTCAGAATCCTATAAGTGGTGGATTGCATCACAAGGTACGTTTGTTCATATGGCGGTTATCTTAAGTAAAAGACGCGCAATATCTTCGCTGTCTTGTAAACCGTTGTCTGTTCTGTTATAGATTCTTTTGGCTAATTTTCTGGCTCAACCAGAAGCTCTAATGAAAGGGAAGACAAGCGACGAGGCTCGTGCTGAGCTGGAGAAGAGTGGAAAGTCTGGAGATACATTGGAGAAGATTTTACCCCACAAGGTACATCACATAGTATTATGCCTCTCAAGCACACGTTGTGTAACGAAAAGGGTGGGGTCTGCAAATTGTGTCCCTTTTTCTATCTCTACATCAGCCAGTTTTCCGCTTTCCCCTGGGATTGCAAAAATTACCCAATGAGTGAGTCTGAAACGTGCAGCCAACCGCAGTCTTCTAGCCTTAAACTTTTACACCATCATATCAGCGTGCATATTCTCCATACTATTCTCTATACATTTCCCAAGGTGCTGACAAGGAGAATTTGTTTAACAATCAAGAGCTGATTCAGTTAATGATCGTTTCCTTTATTCTCATGACCTTAATCTGTGATTCAGGTGTGATATTGTTAGGGGAAATTAGAAGCTAGTCACTTTTAGGGGTCAGAGGGTTTAAAAAAGAACTACTAGGACGCCTTCATGATCAGGGGATTAGATAGAACTCTCTCCTTCTTTTTTTTTAATTTTTTTAATTTTTTTTACTCTATTCAGTGTAATTTCTAAATTGCCGAATGTTTTGATTGAACAATTTTAACAGATCTCGATTCTCAATGATTGTTTCCACCCGAAATAAACTATTCACGTCTCTGTTTGCATTACAGGTGTTTATGGGTAACAAACCCACTAATTCCATTCTGTTCCAAAAACTTACTCCATTCATTCTTGGTGCCTTGCTTGGTGAGTTATATGTTCCAGCAGGGATTTGCTCGTATAGTTTAAGTTATCTTTTCCATGAGATGCATGGTTTAAATATCATGTGATTGTGAGAGCTATTTTCTGTTTATACTTTCAAAGTGACCGAGTGCGAGTAAGACACGCGGCAGTGATCAGACACACGCAACTTGTGCCTCTCATGTGCCAGCCTAAATTACTTACTTTAAGTCCTGCGAAAATTTGTTAAGTGAATTAATGAAAGACAGTAACGTGCTTTTAAAATGAAGTAAGCGAATACTGACTCGATTTCTTACTTCTCTTTTTCTACAGCCATGTATGAACACAAGATATTTTGTCAGGGAGTAGTCTGGGATATAAACTCCTTTGACCAGTGGGGGTAGGTAGCTTACTTGTCTTTGTACTGGGCGAGCAAGCGAATTAATACAAACGCGACAATTATACGCGAGGAAATAAGCAGAAATTGGTGTCTGTAGTTTATGCTTCATCGGTATCCAGAAAAACTCCCGTGTAAGGAATAGCAAATAGGAAAGTTCTCCTCAATGTGACATGACACGTTTAGTGAACGGTAAGGAGAATAAATAATTGAATTTTTTTTCTTACAGAGTTGAATTAGGCAAACAGCTTGCTAAAGCAATTCAGCCGGAGTTGGAGGGCCCTGAACCAGTGACGTCACACGATTCTTCAACAAATGGGCTTATTAACTACATAAAAAAACACTCCACCAAGTAATGCTGGCTTGGAAGGAATGTCAGCAAGGGCTCAATTGTTTGTATTTAAGTTGCAGTTAGCGATGGAGAATGTCATGCATGAAATTTTTATGAACCTGCAAAGTAAATAACGTGAATCTTAAAATAATTGCTCAAAGCACTGCAGTAGCTATCTCAATGGTGTAGTCGCTGGACCACGCGTCTCACTTCGTCCACTTTGTTTGCATGTTCAATTCAGTTTTAGCGCGAGTTTTGAGTGGTGCCTCGAGGCTTCTGGTAGATCACAAGGGACAAGACACAGGAACTTCTCAGCAAGTTTCAACATATTCATTGATAGATTACGAGTGGACACTATAGTTGACGTGTAAACTAGGCAAGTTATATAATTTTGGCGAAGCCGTTGAAGCCTACAAGGTGTGGAAAGTTGCAACGTATAAGTTGTAAAATAAAAAAAAATGAGACTCTAAAGTTTCGTAAAGTACTTAAAGTTGTTATTTCTGTTAGACCGCAAATAAAACTACAGTCATTCACGTCAAAGCCTTTTAAGTAAAACGTTGTTATCAAGAACTTTTTGAAGTTCTTGCTAACAACGTTTTACCCTGCCTAGACTGACTAAAGGAACATGAAAAGCGATTTTATTATTCCTATTCTTAAAATGTTCTAAAGATGTTTTAGTTTTGACGAACTTAGCTTCGGGAAAACACTCTAATCTATATTTGAATTAAAACGTAAATGCCCTTTCATGGCATTTAACTTTTGCGAGGTGTGCCACAATCTTAGGAGGACGTCGCTTAGTAGAGCTGACTGGTCAACTCCACGGTTCGTAACAAAGCACTCCCTGAAACTGTCGTTAATATAGAAAATTGAGGCGGGAGGTGAGATGAATTTCTCTCACAACTCCATAAACTATTTAGGTAAATTGGAGTACACTTAAAATCTTCGAAATTAAGTCAATGTCAAAAAAACAGAGTGGTTACGTCACACAATAGAACCATATATTGAGGGAATTTACTCTGGTATCCGAAAGGAATATGTCTGAAATCATTACTTTCTCTAACACTGTTTCACGCACAGTCAATCACAATCAACAGGATTAGCATAATGACTGCTAGACACGGCCTTTTGTGCTCTCCACTTTTGATCTATTTTCTCATCTCGAGCTCTACGTTATGCAGACAGACTGAGCTTAACACCTATGGGAACATTGTAGGACGTCGTGGACCGGAGTTTTCTTTAGGCTTTGCGCAGTATATTCAAGAAAGAAGTGTTATTTCGATCTACTCTGCTTACCAGACATGCTTTTGGAGGTTTTTGCAGTTCAGATGAGTTATGGATTAGCTTCGCCCGTGGAAATCTGCCTTGTGAACGGCCATCCTTTGTAAGGGTTCAAAATACCACTCCTGAGCCTTTTGTTTCTCTTTGGCGGTGCGGTCGCTCAACGTGCCGGTTCACTGATCCGCGGCTAAAATATTTTAAACAAAGAATTTCATATTATCCTAACTCTTGTGCTGGTTTTAACTTTATGAAACTGTGTATTTCACTAAGTGGCGACATCCATCCATTACCAGGTCCAGATACCACTAGCAGTAGGATTTCTGTTATTCATGGGAATCGACAGACTCGTCGCATCCCTGACTCAGTTGGACACGTGAGCGCAAATTGTAATAGAATACAATTGACAAAGAATGCACAATCAACGGTGCATAAAAACCAAAACAAGCTCTTGGAAATAGCCCATCTTAACGCAGAGCTTCTCAAATGTAGACAACACTTCACTGAAACGAAGGAGTTTGCCTTGGAACGTGATTTTGATATTTTAACCATCTCGGAGACCTGGTTTAACTCTTCCGTGACCAACAGTGTTGTCGAAATCCCGGGATACAAGGTCTTTAGACTTGATCGCCTTGGAAAAGCAGGTGCCGGTGAATGTGCTTACCTAAAATCTACTCTGAAGGTAAGAGTCCTGAAGGATCTCACGGAAATATCCGAATCCGGCCTACACCAGTTGTGGATTCAAGTTCAAAATAAGAAGCTTCGTTCATTGCTGGTTTGTATTGTTTACAGACCCCCGGAAATTGGAACTGCATGCCTAGAGAATGAACTGCTCCCAAAGTACATCGAAGCATTATCACGATACAAGGACATTATGCTAACAGGCGACTTAAACTGTGACCTTCTTTCAAACAATCCGAGGGGAGAAGCATTGCTGTCGTTTTGTGCAACTGTAAATGCGACACAGCTTATAGACAAGCCAACTCGCGTGACTGAGAACTCACGCTCCTTACTGGATGTCATCTTGGTCTCTGACCCTGTCCTTGTCGAGTCGAGCGGTGTTCTTGAAATAACTATAAGTGATCATTTTCTGGTTCATGCTGTTATTAACTTAAGATCACCCAAGCAAGCCCCAACCTACATCGTCACACGTAGTTTTCGGAATTATAAAACCGATCAGTTTGCAAATGACATCGCGCACATCCCATGGGATACTATGAACCTGATAGACGAATCCGTTGATAACAGACTCGATGCATTTAATGACTTGCTGTTGGCGTGTCTGGACGACCATGCTCCGGTTAAAACAGTGAAATACGACATAAACCAAACCCATTCATCACGGAGGACATGAGGGATTTGATGAAGGTGAGAGACCACCTTCACAAAAGAGCGAGAAGGACTGGGACGAGGGAAGATTGGGAGGCTTTTAAGGGGGGATTCTACCTGAAATTAGCTCAAAATATTGTTTTTTTGTTTTCTTCAGAAATGCGAGGTTCAACTATTCGACTTTACACTGACGATCGTTTTTACCGAAAAATTTTAAAATATAAATGAGAAATTACGTTAGAAAAGAAGAGGTATCTAAATAGAAATCTCGTTTCCATGGCAACCAAAACAGCATTTTTTGTTTCTTACTTGTTTACCAGCCTGTTTGGAGCTCAAAATATGTCAAACAAGCCCGAAACGCCCCTTAGAATCCTTGTGCTGTCTTACATGAAGGGGAAAATAAGAAATTGAAAGAGTAACACTGGAGACGAGTGAGAGATTTTTGTGTGAAAGTTGTCACAGTGTATTGCGAAATATTGAACTCCTTTTGTCTCTTTTGTGCTGGAATGACTGGAAAGAAGAAAAGAACCGTTTACAGGAAAACTAGGAAAAGAAAGGGGCATGGAGGAGATCGTAAAAAAGCGCAATTACTGAAGAAAAGCGGTTGCAACAGGAAGAGTGAACCAAACGAACCGACCCCAGGAACTTCGCACGATCAGTCTGATCTGTCAGATTTTGGCGAAGAAAGCGATCAGCTTCCTAGTTCTTCAAGGAAGAAGATGAGATTCCAGAGCTCAGAAGATGAGTCTTCTTCAAGTTCTGATGAAAACAAAAAAGTTTTCGAGGTAGCTGAGGTAGAAAAAGGATACAGGCTCGTTGATCTAAAGAGCTTCTCTTCTGTGCTCTCAACTTTACACAAATGCGAAGAAGGTGAGAAAAATATCACACATCATAAATATGCTTTTCAGCCCCTTGAACCTAAAGAAAAACGATAGTTAGAATTATTTGCAGAAAAGGAGTTTTATTATTGTTTAATCATTTTTTCTGATCTTTCTTCACTGCAACACTTGTACACATTTATGGAGGTGTGAACTAATGCTCCAACATTGTGGTTCTGTTTGGTTCAGTAACTATAGCTAATAGCATCCTTTTCCGTCATGTTTTTAATATAGGAGACCTTACTATTGAAGAAAATACCGCTAGCCGTTATGGACTGATGTCAGATCTCTCCATTCACTGCAATTCTTGTGATGAAAGTACTCCTTGGCAGACATCACCCAACCTTGCCAAGAAAGGCAAATCATTTGATGTCAACCGGAGAGCTGTCTACCACTCAATAGAAACTGGAAGTGGCTACGACGGACTCTCTTCTTTCTGTGCGATAATGAACATGCCTTGTTTGTCAAGAGCTGCTTACTACAAGCAAGTTGATGTAATTTTGGAAGCACTGGAAAGTGAAGCAAAAGAAGAACTAAAAGGTGCAGGCCAAAGGCTCCGAAAGCTAATCATGGAGGAAAATGGCATCTCAGACAGCACCACAATAATTGATGCTGCTGTTAGCTTTGATGGCACTTGGGCCAAAAGAGGTTTCACATCACTAACAGGTGTTGTTTTCGTCATCTCAATTGACACAGGAGAAGTTTTAGACTATCACGTGATGTCTAAATCTTGCCGTAAGTGCTCCCTAAAGAACTCACAATGTGAAGGGAATGTGGAAGAGTTTGAAGAATGGAGGAGGGAGCATGTTGCATCTGGAGATTGTGACATCAACTTCGAAGGAAGTTCACCTGCTATGGAAGCAGAAGGAGCTTCTGTTCTTTGGAATAGATCCATCGAACTTCATAACATGAGGTACAAATGGATGGTGTCAGACGGGGACAGTAAGGCCTTTAACACTGTTCAACATGCCTATGATGACTGTGAAGTTATTAAACTGGATTGTGTAGGCCATGTGCAGAAAAGGATGGGCAAACATTTAATGAATTTGAAGGCATGCAGTAAGGGTAAACTTGCTGATGGAAAACCTATAGGAGGGCGTGGCCGGCTTACAGAAGGAAAGATCAAGCAGCTTCAAAGGTACTATGGCCTAGCAATCCGGCAAAACACCTTGACCAAGGCAAATCCCTCTGAACGGGAGGTTGACATTGCAGTTTATGCTATGAAAAAAAATATTATTGCCATTCTCCATCACTGTGTAAATTCAACTGACAATGCTAAACAACACCGCTTCTGTCCACCAGGTGATTCATCATGGTGCAAATGGCAACAGGACCAGGCAACAGGAACCAGTACCTACAAAGGAGATGACTGTTTGCCCGAAGTCTTCGTGGAGACTCTAAAACCCACATTTGTGTCATTAAGTGACAGTAAACTTTTAGAAAGATGTGTACGAGGAAAAACCCAGAACCCAAATGAAAGCATCAACGCAATGGTTTGGGTCCGGTGTCCCAAACATGAACACCATGGAGTGAAAGTTGTCCGGTGTGCTGCTGCGTCTGCAGTCTGCCACTTCCACAGAGGTGCAGAAAGCAGAGAAAGATTGATGGAAAGGCTTTCAATTCCTGGAGGTGCATTTACTGAGGATGCATTTCGACTAAGAGATAATTCAAGGCTTCGGAAAGCTGATAAGCAGGCAACGGCCAAGGAGAAGAAGCGCCGGCAGGGATTGCAGCTTATCCGTACTCAAAGAGAAGCGGCTCTTCGTGAAAAAGAAGATGTTTCATATGAAGCTGGGGCATTCTAACTCTTGCTCTTGCCTATCCTAATTATATTTGAACTTATGGCTACTCATTGACTTCATAATTTGAATACAGGAGGTGTTTAATTTTAAAATCTTGTAACTTTAGGCCTTTTTTTCTCAAAACGTATTTTTTAATACTTGAGAAAAGATTACTCAAGAAGTATGAGAGCTATGGACCTGAAATTTTTAGGGATTGCTGATCTAATTGAGTTATTTGGGATGAGTGAAGGAAAATGCCATAGAGGTCTTTCTAAAGAAATGATTAAACAAATAGTGATCATGTGTTAGATGTGTAACTTGACACCAGTGCTGTGATGTCAAATTTAAAAAATTCTTGAAATCCTTCACTCATCCCAACAAGTATTCAATATTCTTTAGAATAACAGCAAAATATTGGTATTTCATTGAAACAGTTTCTAACAATCTTTACTCAAGTACATATAGGTGAGACACTACAAGTTGTTAATTGAAATGACCGGTGTCAGGTTACATTTGCTGCAGGTGTGACATAACACCTTTTTTTGAAAAATATAGTTCATAAGCTTTCCAGTGATATATAGTTTTAGATAGTTGTGACCAAAACTTAAATTCCTACAATTATTTGAAAAAATGCACTTTTTTTAGGTAGAATCCCCCCTTAAGGAGCTGCGAAATAGAGTTAAATTTGTTTTACGGAAGGCGGAACGAGAGCACAACAATCATCAAATCTGTGAAAATAAGAACAACAGTGGGGCAATGTGGAAAACTATTCGCAGTGCCCTCCCAAATAGATCAGGCCGCCCAAGCTTTACCAAGGACACAGATGCACTCGCTAATGAATTCAATCGCTTCTTTATATCTGTGGGACAGAAGGCCGCCGATGACTCTGCGGAGCTCGCTCGCCTTCACGGCCTACCAATTACTCCTGTTTATCTCGGTTCAACTCATTGTGATGAACTGTTTGACTTCAAAGCAATAACCAGTGAAGATGTGCGAAAAGTGATTATGGCTATGCCTTCTAATAAAGCTCCAGGCTATGACAGAATTCCAGTGTTTGTGATCAAGGACTGTTTACCGTATATATTACCAACTCTAACTGCATTGATAAACTCTTCTTTCAGCAACTCTGTTTTCCCTAAGGCCTGGAAGAAGTCGGAAGTAGTGCCACATCTTAAAGATGGTGATCACGAGTAACAATCGCCCTATTTCATTATTGCCTGTACTTTCTAAAGTGACCGAAAAGATCGCCCTGAATCAGTTCACTGATTATTTGACTCAACAAGGCAACCTCACCTGTCATCAAAGCGGAAACCGTAAACACCATTCTACTGAAACACTGAGTTTGCTTGTCACCGGTCATATATATAAAGCGATGGATAAAAAGAAGATCACGGCTATGGTCCTAATTGACTTGAGCAAGGCTTTTGACAGCATATGTCATAGAACTCTCCTCACCAAGCTGAAAGGGCTCGGTGCGTCAAATGAAGCGTCGAAGTGGTTTGAGAGCTATCTTACAAACCGAATGCAGTCAACACGACACGGTACATCTCGCTCTAGTGAGTTAACTGTCACACATGGCGTACCACAGGGGTCCATTCTAGGGCCTCTTATGTTCAGCCTTTACATGAACGACCTCTTGTCCGTTGTTAAGTTTTCAAGCGAAGAGTCATATGTTGATGACACAAAGGTTTATCTTTCGTGTTCATCGAATAATATTGACTCCTGCCTTGCATAAGTCTCGGAAGATCTCCGACTTATTGCCTCCTGGTGCTGTATGAATAAGTTGCTTATTATTCCAGACAAAACTAAACTTATTCTTTTTGGAACGAAACAACTTTTTTTTAACTCTCAGTTTTCAAGCGTGCAGTAAAGCGCGAAATATATGACAGTCCGTAGGAATCTTTTTTAGGTATAGAATTTTAAGAATATGTTAGTTATTTATTTGTATTTGTTTCTTTATCATGATATTATTGTAACTTTTATAGGTAGTTTTATTCGATTTCCAATTATTGTAAATTAAATCGGAAGAGCCACTGGGTGGAGATTTAATAAACTTACTTACTTACTTACTAGTCTAACTTAAAAGCTAAACTTTCAACAAAATTTAAAGTTGGTTTGACTGACTGTTTTTTTTTTCTTTTTTTTTTTTTACTGCTCTCATGTTAATTGCTCATGCTACTCCATAGCTTTTAAGTTTTCCAAGAGTGTGATATCCTTCTTCTGATTCATCACCTGTGTCACTAAACCTATTCCTTTTCTTAAAATGTTCCGAAGAAGTTTTAAGTTTTTGACGAACTAAGCTTCGGAAACACTCTAATCTATATTTGATTTAAAACGTACGTGTCTTTCTAGCATTTCAATTTTACGAGGTGTGTCTCAATCTCAGAACGCGGCTAAAACTGATCAGTCAACTCCATAGTCCGTAACAAAGCACACCTTGAACCTGTTGTTAACATACAAAATTGAGGCGAGAGTTGAGATCAGTTGCTTATACAACTCAAGAAAATTTACTGTGGTGTCAGAAAGAAACATATCTGAAATCAATACTCTCTCTAATACTGTTTCACGCACAGTCTAACTTAAAAGCTAAACTTTCAACAAAATTTAAAGTTAGTTTGACTAACTGTGTTTTCTTTTTTTTCTTTTACTGCTTTCATGTTAACTGCTCATGCTATTCCATAGCATTTAAGTTTTCCCAGAGTGTGATATCCTTCTTCTGATGAATGACCTGTGTCACCAAACCTGAGCTGTTTGACTGGTAGATGTGTCTTTTCAGTGAGCAGACCGCTGTCTTCACGCCATACGCCGTCATTCTTATCACAGTTACAGGGATAACTGGGGTCTGCACAGGAGTTGGTCATCCCGCATACGCACTTATCACTTCCAGGTGATGCTCCACCCCAGGTCGTCATTTTAGCGGAGTCGCGTGACACCCACCATGCGTACCCACCTCCCATCCCTCCTAGTAGCACTGAATCAAGGCACTCATACTTGATAAACTGTTCACACTGTGAGGAGACACTGGTGAGACTCGCCAGCTGAGACAAACTCGCTCCGGCGTAATGAATGTCTCGTGAATAACAGCCTTTAGGCTCGCATCCTTTCACATGTGTTCTACTTTCACTGTCATGACCAATGACAGTCACGCCAATTCCATTCTTGTCACTCATGTCACAGTATACCGTGAAAGGTGCCAGTCCCCCTTCGCCATCTGGATCAATGACGTAATTTCCGTTTGCGCTACTGACGTATTTTCTTATCACAGAACAAGACGTAAGAATAGGAGGACTATTGATTTTGACTTTGGCTTCTATTGTTGTCAAAGCATTAGTCGCTCTGCAGGTGTAATTTCCTTGGTGTGATTTCCTGATGTTGTTTATAACCAGTGTTCCATTTTGTAGAACATTAGACCCCACAGGAAGAGAAGACATGCCATCCTTTGTCCAGGTGATTATAGCTCTCAGCTCACTCTCGGCCGCACATGGCAAATAAAGAGAGCCATACGGAGTCACCTCCTGAGGAGGACGTACTTTGAACTTCAGAGGAGTAAGTACCATGAGATGAGCAGTGTCTGTCGCTGATCCCAAAGTATTCTCTGCCTTACAGATGAATATTCCACTGTCCTTTCTCGCCAAACTATAGATTTTCAACGTTCCATTCTTCACTTCAGTCCTATCTTTTGGCAAACCACCCACTGACTTAGACCACGTGATGCTTGGCCGCGGCTGACCGACAGCATTGCAGGCAATAGTGACGTTTTGTTTTTCTTCAGTCATTAATCGGCTTGATGATAACCTAAGTTTAGGGACGACTGTGGAAAAGAAAACGCAGATATAATTCCTTCATCAAGAAGCGTTAACACTGGAATCTATAATGTCGTAGTCAAGCTTCATAATACTCAATATTATGTCTTAATTACAGGATCAAAAAGAAAAAAATGAATTTATTTTTAAGGATTAACGTTCAACTTTGGAAGTTTTAATCGTCTTGTGGCAAGGAATGTCTCTCAGTGTGTCAGAAGAACCGTTTCATTTGATGACTTTCAAACATAAATTGTAAGACTTACACTGAACAGTTAATTTTAATGAGGTGTTGACTTGTCCCAGCAAACTCTCTGCGCTGCAGCTGTAGACTCCGTCGTCCTCAGGTCTAACGTCTTTTAGAATCAGCGTACCACTGGACTCTACCATGTGACGTCCAACAGGAAGCGATGATGTCACCTTAGACCACTTGACTTTTGGCCTTGGGTTACCATTCACTGTACACTTCAACTGGCTGTCTGACTTTCATTGACTGTCATTCCTAAGGGTCTCTCAATCAGAGATGGTGCTGAGAGGGACTCACCGGGCTTACCTGCGGCTCCTTTCTCTCCCGGTGGCCCTCGCGGTCCCAAGGGATCAGGGCTCCCCGGTAATCCGACATCTCCCTTTACTCCTATCGGCCCCGGCGGTCCTATAGGTCCATATTTACCAGGTGGCCCTTCTGGGCCAGTTCTTCCGGGAGGACCCCGCTTCCCTCGGTTTCCTGGTCTTCCTCGTCTTCCTCTGTTACCTTTTGGTCCTGCTTGGCAAAGTGTGTGATTTTTTGCGCAGATTTGGTTTTGCAGCAGACTTAGCTCTTGTTTGATCAGCTTTTTTGCAAAAGAGGATGCAAGGGATGAGTTCTGTTGTGTATCATCCCGTGTAAATCGTTTCTCTCTCGATATATCTTCCTGTCCGTCTGAAAATATCAAGATTGACTCTGCATCTCATATTCATTGGTATCAAAGAAATGGAAATGTTATTAATCTTGTAATTTGAATTTTGAAGGCTACCTATCAAAGATAAATACTTCCGTAACCCTAGATCAATAAATTTTAACTTATCGTTCAGTGGCTAAATTTATCTTTGCTTGGGGGGAAACTTTTTCTTTGAATTAAAACTGTGTTAAAAAACAATTTACTTAAGAGCAATCTTTTTCCTAGGATGTAAAATACGCGTGGAACATCGGTGTAACCGACTGGGAACAGGAGAATAGTTGACGGCCATCATTGCAAAACTTACCATCTTCCTCTTTCCTTATATTCTCAAGTTGCCAACGTGCGTAATTCTTCTGCATCTTTTGTATGATTTCCGTATCTATCTTATCACATAACTTTGCTGAATGGGATATCAGTCGATGGTGTTCTTGTATTCTGAGTTCTACGTTAATCCACGCAACACAACATAAAAGGGATAACAGCAAACCTGACGCGGAACACAAGCGCTCCAACATCTGTGTTCTCTTCATTTGCTTCTCTGCTTTTCCATGTTGTTTCATTGTTACAGCTTTCAGAAAGATATCTCAAATTCATAGAAATATACTGATCAATGTATCTTGACTTTAAAGGAGAAGATCAGCCGGTTCTAACAAGATAAGTGTTTCAATCACGAATGTAGTTATAAGGTTATAAGGACGTTATGAATCAATTAACATTTTGACTTCCTGTTGTGCTACAATACTTTCTCATGAGACAAACGCGACAGAGTAGTAAAGGCGGAAACAAGTCAATGCTTTAGTGTTACGGGAAGTATAATTGATAATCATCCTAGTATCTTGCAGGGGTATAAAGCTACATTTTCCGTGAGCTTTTGACTTGCTCTCTAGAAATAGAGTGATTGTTGGTTACCAAGCTCCATTATTTTAATAACGGGCTCTTTTCAATTCTATCGCGGCAAGCCCACATAATGTGAGGAAGTTAGCTCTCCAGCTTCATATGGCTGTAAACGATTACTTCATTTGACTGATTTGGGCGGAACATGGCTTTGGCAGACTTGTAGTGTCATTCCGACTTGCCCCCTCTGTGAAGTGTCTTCTTGTTTCGCTGAAACACATCTCAAAGTTTTCAGGTTTTCAGTCACGTCCATAATTGATTAATAAACATCTATGAGAATCGAGAAAAACTTTAGAGATACCTAACGATAGGAAAATAAAGCCTCATAAAATTACTGAGATTTTCTAATTCGCGTTAATTTGATAGCGTTGGCTAATTTGCTTCATTTTCACGTGAAATATAGGACTCGCTACTAGCAAAATTTCCATTACAACTTTACGTCGATATAAATGGGTGTTACCGCTGGATTTTGTGCATAGAAGGCTCGATTTATTCCTTTGGGTATTCACTTCGGGGGGCCACACAGAACCGCCGAAAGCGTAATGACTAAGTTCGGATTCATTCGCTCTGGAAAGGGTGAGATCTTTTGGAGGAAGACTCAAAGGAATGAAACAAAAGCGCGGTTAAACGACCTCGAGCGGCGGCGTCTACAAGCGTACCCTTTTTGTTTTGATGTGTCAATGCACCCCAAGGAATCATGGAAAGATTTTATGCTTTCAAATTTTTCACTCGATGTCTTCAAGTTTGATTTTTGTTTATTAAAACAGATCATTTTCAGAGCTTTACAAAGACTTTGAACGAGCATAGTTGATGATTGTATGCCAAAGTTCGTATTTTACTTCTTGTTATTGGCGTTTTAATTTATGCACAGCCATCTTTTACCGGCGCGTGAGAAGCATGAATTCGGAAGAATGACTGCAGACATTTTATGCATTCAATGTGTTTTCATGCATGCAAAGTGTTTTTCGCTAAATTTTTTCAATTTTGATTGCGAGCTTTCTAGAGGGACCTTTAAATGAGGTGCGCGTGAAGCGTATTTGCAAGTTGTGCATTCGCGAACATTCCGATAATCGCGTGCTAGATCACAATCGAAATTTACAAAAGGCCGATCTAACAAAGGAAATAGCGTCAAGTCTGACAGCTCTCAATTCATTTTTACGAATCTGAAATTCCTCTTGAGCCTATGGGACAGGTGCACTCGCGAGCCGTTTCCGTCGATGAACTCCAAACTTCTGTTGTTTACATTTAAGCTACTGCTTTTATCTGTTGCGTTCCTTGCTTTGTGGTTAAGAAATCAAAAGCAAAATTTTCGGAATTGAAGCTATTGTTCGTTTTTGAATGATAAACAAAGGAAAATTGTCGCACATGTCATCAAAGGGCGTTCCGATTTCTATAGCGGTCTTACATTTCCGAGTGAAATCCGACGAGAACCCAAACAACAGCATGACCCACGGAACATAGGTACACACTTAAACTGATTACCGCTGGTTAGGCAAAAAACGCAAATCAGTGGTAGGAAAGGCGATTACAAAGCCAATTTATTAGCTCCTCATTTCGTACACCTTTTATCCAAGGTACACCAGATGAAAAGCTAATAAATACAATCGAACTAAAAAGCTTTCATGTAAGACAAGACCGACCTCAGTGTTTTTTAGTCGCTAGGCAACGCCTTCAAGTAAAAGCAATATAGTGTCATGCATTATCATGATTTCCAACTGTGGAGAACGGGTGAATAGGCTGTTTTCCAAAGTCGCTGAATCTTAACATCATCAGCCTGCAGCAACCGGAGATAAATGTATCTCCAGCGTATTTGGTCAGCTTTTCTTTATCTTCACCGTTGGCTTCAAATGGTGGTGTGTGTCGTGAAGAGAAATCCCAGCTTGGTTTTGCCCTTCTTAACTTTTCCTACAGCACAAAGCAAACATCACACTATTCTGACTGCAAATATGTAAGCGCGCTTGATCCTCAGTGCATGAGTTTTAATTTCTAGTGGGAGAAGAAAATATGCGATTTGAACGGCAAAGCAAGAGAGCATCATTTGCTGGGCCTGCTTTGTAACAGATAAGTCATCCACCTACATGGGAATGGCGAGGTATCCCGGCTACCCAGGTAATAAAAAGTGTTTGAAAATAGCTGATTATAAGATAATGTATGCAACTCCATCACAAATCATTGCGTTTCCCTGTTTATCGGTCAACAGCCAGATGATTGACTAAATCAGTTACTCCTAGAAAACATCTACGATAATAATATTGCTTTGGATCGGCGTTAACGCTTATCAGAGGGTCTCATTAGGGTGATTGCTTTTACGGCTCGCGGTTAAATTTTTTTCAAATGTCTGGCTTGTGGTTAATAACTTTCCATTGTGGTTATGGTTAGTTTTTTTTACGACTGGCGCTTAAAATTTGTCAATTAATACTCCTAACGGCTAAATTATTTTACTGTTTTACGGCTTATGGTTAGCCTCATTGAGACAACGATGTCAAGAGGAAAGCAAAATAAATATCAGGTGAATAACCTTAACTCTTTGTAGGGATAAAATGACTCTAATTGGAAAACGAGAGATGGAGGATCTTTTTTTGGTCGAAGGCAGGTGCAGTTTTTGAGTAAACGTAACAATTTAAGTATCGTCGTTTCAAGTTGGCATGTATTTCTTTCCTATCACCTTTATTTAATCAATTGCTGTAATATCGTATTTTTTTTAGTTTCAACTCTCATCGTTCTCCCACATCAATAAATTGCTTTTTATAAGTTAATCGTGGTGTTGGAAAGTTACGGTTACCGCAGTCACACCTTTTACACCATAACATAAGTGTACATATTCTCCATACTGTCTCTATACATTTCCTAAGGTGCTGACAAGGAGAAATTGGTTTAACAAGAATGAGCTGCTTTAGTCGGTGATATTTCCTCTATTCCCATGACCTTATTGTGTGATTCAGGTGTGATATTGTTAGGGGAAATTAGACGCTAGTCACTTTTAGGGGTCAGAGAGTTTAAAAAAGAACTACTAGGACGCCTTCATGATCAGTGGATTAGATAGAACTCTCTCCTTCTTGGGAGATTTCTAAAAGGATGTATTGCATCGCAGTGACATCTTTTTTTTAGCCTATTCAGCGTAATCTCTAAATTGCCGAATGTTTTGATTGAAAAATTTTAACAGATCTCGATTCTCAATGATTGTTTCCACCCGAAATAAACTATTCACGTCTCTGTTTGCATTACAGGTGTTTATGGGTAACAAACCCAATAATTCCATTCTGTTCCAAAAACTGACTCCATTCATTCTTGGTGCCTTGCTTGGTGAGTTATATGTTCCAGTAGTGATTTGCTCGTATAGTTTAAGTTATCTTTTCCATGAGACGCACATCATCACATCATCACTTTTTTGTTCTTACCACATTTTGACGTCATCTGTGATTTATTACTGAACAGACGCACGGCAACTTGGAATCTATTTGTTAATGTGACTGTGAGAGAGATTTTCTATTCTTTCAGAGTGACTGAGTGCGAGTAAGACACGCGCGACTTGTGGCTCTCACATGTCAGCCTAAATTACTTACATCAAGTTCTGCGAAAATTTGTTTAGTAAATTAATGTAAAGAAAGTGACGTGCTTTTGAAGTGAATTTCAATCTTTGAACCTTTTTTTCTACAGTCATGTATAAATATTTTGTTAGGGTGTAGTCTGGGATATAAACTCCTTTGACCAATGGGGATAAGTAGCTTACTTATCTTTATTGTACTGGGCGATCGAATTAATACAAAGGCCACAATTATACACGAGGTAATAAGCAGAAGTTGGTGTCTGTAGTCTATGCTACATCGGTATCCTGAAAAACTGAATAAAGGAGGTAAGTTTCTAAAGAAACTGTGGTGCTGCGTCGGTGGGATAGTATGACTGAGTTGATAGCGTTAATTGGCCACTGTAAAGGGTTTTAAAGCTGACGTTTCAAACGTTAGCCCTTCGGTAGAGCATATGAAGAAGGGCTAGCGCTCGAAACGTCAGCTTTAAAACTCTTTACGGGGGCCAATTTATGTTATCAACTCAGTTGATAATACTAATTAAATTACCCTGTTATCCAGAAAAACTCTCGCGTAAGGAATGCATGGCAAATAGGAAAGTTCTCCTTATGATTTTTTGTTTAGTAAAGAGTAAGGAGAATAGATAATTGAAGTTTCTTTTTCTGGATTTTTATTTCTTACATGCAGAGGAGAGTTAGGCAAACAGCTTACTAAAGTAACTCAGCCGAAGTTGGAGGGCCCTGAACCAGTGACGTCACACGATTCATCAACAAATGGTCTTATTAACTACATAAAAAAACACTCCACCAAGTAATGCTGGCTTGGAAGGAATGTCAGCCAGGGCTCAATTGTTTGTATTTAAGTTGTAGTTAGCGATGGGGAATGTCATGTATGAAATTTTTATGAACCTGCAAAGTAAATAACGTGAATCTTAAAACAATTGCTTAAAGTACTGCAGTATTTATCTGAATGGTGTAACCGCTGGACCGTGTACCTCACTTCTTCCCTGATGTTTGCATGTTCAATTCAGTTTTGGCACGAGTGTTGAGTGGTGCTTTGAGGCTTCTGGTAGATCAAAAGGGACAAGAGGAACTTCTCAGCAAGTTTCTACATATTCATTGATAGATTACAAGAGGACACTATAATTTACAAGCAAACTAGACAACTTGATATAATTTTGGCGACGCTGTTGAAGCTTACAAGGTCTAGAAAGTTGCAACGTATAAGTTGTGAAATAAAAATAAAATGAAACTTTAAAGTTTCTTAAAGAACTAAAGTCGTTATTTATGTTGGACCGCAAATAAAACTACAGTCATTTGCGTTAAAAGCCTTAAAGTTCTTGCTAACAACGTTTTACCCTGGCTATACTGAGAAAAGGAAACATGAAAAGCGAATTTATTATTCCTATTCTTAAAATGTTCTGAAGATGTTGTCCGTTTTGACGAACTATGCTTCGGAAACACTCTAATCTATATTTGATTTTAAACGTACGTGCCCTTTCATAGCATTTCAATTTTACAAGGTGTGTCTCAATCTTAGAACGCGGCTAGAACTGATCAGTCAACTCCACGGTCCGTAACAAAGCACACCCTGAAGCTGTCGTTAATATATGAAATTGAGGTGGAAGGTAAGATCAGTTGCGCTTTCAACTCAAGAAAATGTACTTTGGTGCCAGAAAGAAAGATATCTGAAATCAATACTTTCTTTTAATACTGTTTCACGTACAGTCTAAAGCCAAACTTTCAACTAAATTAAAAGTTGGCTTTGTTTTTTCCTCTTAACTGCTTTCATGTTAACTGCTCATGCTATTCCATAGCATTTAAGTTTTCCCAGAGTGTGATATCCTTCTTCTGGTTTATCACCTGTGTCACCAAACCTGAGTTGTTTAACTGGTAGATGTGTCTTTTCAGTGAGCAGACCGCTGTCTTCACGCCATCCTAGGTCATTCATATCACAGTTACATTGATAACTGGGGTCTGCACAGGAGTTGGTCATCCCGCATGCGCACTTACCACTTCCAGGTGATGCTCCACCCCAGGTCGTCATTTTAGCGGAGTCGCGTGACACCCACCATGCGTACCCACCTCCCATCCCTCCTATCAGCACTGACCCATGACACTCATACTTGATAAACTGTTCCCACTGTGAGGAGATACTAGTGAGACTCGCCAGCTGAGACAAACTCGCTCCGGTGTAATGAATGTCTCGTGAATAACAGCCTTGAGACTCGCATCCTTTCACATGTGTTCTACTTTCACTGTCGTGACTAATAACAGTCACGCCAACTCCATTCTTGTCACTCATGTCATAATATACCGTGAAGGGTGCCAGTCCCCCTTCGCCAAGCTTAAAACGACAGAGAACGCCGTAAGGTACAACGGGCACGCAAGGAGTGAGTAAGTTCTATTAATCTTACGTGTAAGTACGGAATATTTATATATTCCAGTAGTGATTTGCTCGTATAGTTTAAGTTATCTTTGCCATGAGAAGCATGGTTTAATAAACAAATAGATTCCAAGTTGCCGTGCGTCTCGTCAACTTGGAATCTATTTGTTTTATATAATAAAGAATTTAAAAAAGTTTTAATGATGACGTCATCTATACGTCTGTCCTCCAATAGATCATAAGTGAGAACCAATCAGAACGCGTGCATAACTGAACTTATTATATAAATACTACGTGATTGTGAGAGCCATTGTCTATACTCTCAAAATGACCTAGTGCGAGTAAGACACGCGACAGATGTAAGGAGAATAAATAATTCAGTTTTCTTTTTCTGGGTTTTTTTTTCTTACAGAGTTGAGTTAGGCAAACAGCTTGCTAAAGCAATTCAGCCGGAGTTGGAGGGCCCTGAACCAGTGACGTCACACGAATCTTCAACAAATGGTCTTATTAACTACATAAAAAAACACTCCACCAAGTAATGCTGGCTTGGAAGGAATGTCAGCCAGGGCTCAATTGTTTGTATTTAAGTTGCAGTTAGCGATGGGAAATGTCATGCATGAAATTTTTATGAACCTGCAAAGTAAATTACTGCTCAAAGCACTGCAGTAGTTGTCTGAATGGTGTAGTCGCTAGACCACGCGTCTCACTTCGTCCACTTTGTTTGCATGTTCAATTCAGTTTTAGCGCGAGTTTTGAGTGGTGCCTCGAGGCTTCTGGTACGTCACAAGGGACAGGACGCATGAATGTCTCAGCAAGTTTCAAGATATTCCTTGATAAATTACAAGTGGACACTATAGTTGACGTGCAAACTAGGTAAGTTATAATTTTGGCGAAGCCGTTGAAGCCTACAAGCTCTAGAAAGTTGCAACGTATTAGTTGTGAAAAAAAGTGAAACTCTAAAGTTTCGCAAAGTACTTAAAGTTGTTATTTCTGTTAGACCGCAAATAAAACTACAGTCATTCACGTTAAAGCCTTTTAAGTAAAACATTGGTTAACAAGAACTTTTTGAAGTTCTTGCTAACAGCGTTTTACCCTGCCTATACTGACTAAAGGAACATGAAAAGTGATTTTATTATTCCTATTCTTAAAATGTTCTGAGGATGTTTTCAGCTTTTGACTAACTAAGCTTCGGGAAACACTCTAATCTATATTTGAATTGAAACGTACATGCCCTTTCATAGCATTTAACTTCTGCGAGTTGCGCCACAATCTTAGAACGCCACTAGAGCTGACTAGTCAACTCTACGGTCCGTAACAAAGCACATCCCGAAACTGTCGTTACCACAGGAAATTGAGGCGGGAGGTGAGATGAGTTGCTCGTACAATTCCATAAACTATTTAAGTAAATTGGAGTGAACTTAAAATCTTTGAAATTAAGTTAATTAAGTTAAAAAAAAAAGAGTGGTGACTTCACACAATAGAACTATGTACTTAAGTATCAAGAAAATTTACTCATGTCAAAAAGGAATATATCTAAAATCAATACTTTCTCTAATACTGTTTCAGGAACATTCTAACTTAAGAGCCACACTTTCAACGAAATGCAAGGTTGATTTGACTAAATGTCACCTTTTTTTACTGCTTCAATGTTAACTGCTCGTGCTATTCCATAGCATTTAAGTTTTCCCAGAGTGTGATATCCTTCTTCTGGTGAATGACCTGTGTCACCAAACCTGAGTTGTTTGATTGGTAGATGTGTCTTTTCAGTGAGCAGACCGCTGTCTTCACGCCATACAAGGTCATTCTTATCACAGTTACAAGGATAACTGGGGTCTGCACAGGAGTTAGTCATTCCGCATGCGCACTTACCACTTCCAGGTGATGCTCCACCCCAGGTCGTCATTTTAGTGGAGTCGCGTGACACCCACCATCCGTGTTCACTTCCCATCCTTCCTATTAGCACTGACCCATAACACTCATACTTGATAAACTGTTCACATTGTGAGGAGACACTAGTGAGACTCGCCAGCTGAGACAAACTCGCTCCGGTGTAATGAATGTCTCGTGAATAACAGCCTGGAGACTCACATCCTTTCACATGTGTTCTACTTTCACTATCGTGACTAATGACAGTCACGCCAACTCCATTCTTGTCAGTCATGTCACAATATACCGCGAAAGGTGCCAGTCCCCCTTCGCCATCTGGGTCAATGAAGTAATTTCCGTTTGCGCTACTGACGTATTTTCTTATCACAGAACAAGACGAAATAATAGGAGAGTTGATTCTGACTTTGGCTTCTATTGTTGTCAGAGCATTAGTCGCTCTACAGGTGTAATTTCCTTGGTGTGATTTCCTGATGTTGTTTATAACCAGTGTTCCATTTTGTAGAACATTAGACTCCACAGGAAGGGAAGACATGCCATCCTTTGTCCAAGTGATTGTAGTTCTCAGGTCACTCTCGGCCGTACATGGTACATAAAGAGAATCAGGAGCATGCGGAGTCACCTCCTTAGGAGGACGCACTTTGAACTTCAGAGGAGTAAATACCATGAGATGAGCAATGTCTGTCGCTGATCCCAAAGTATTCTCTGCCTTACAGATGAATATTCCACTGTCCTCTCTCGCCAAACTATAGATTTTCAACGTTCCATTCCTCACTTCAGTCCTATCATTCGGAAGACTACCCACTGACTTAGACCACGTGATGCTCGGCCGCGGCTTGCCAACAGCATTGCAAGCAATAGTGACGTTTTGTTTCTCTTCAGCCATGAATCGACTTGATGATAACCTAAGTTTAGGGACGACTGAGGAAAAGAAAACGCAGATATAATTCCTTCCTTAAGAAGCATTAACACCGGAATCTATGGCGTCATAGTTTGGCTTCATAACACCCAATATAATGCCTTAGTTACAGGTTCAAATAAGAAAAAAAAGGTTCAGCTTTGGAAATTTAATTTTCTTCTGACAAGGAATGTCACTCAGTGTGTCAGAAGAACTGTTTCATTTCATTCCCTTGCAAGAATAGGAGAACATGTTCCCAAGTTTTAAGGGCCAAGTAAAGATCTTGACTCTATTCAACAGTAGACGTTTGTTTCGATCTATAACTACATCTAAAATAGTGAATGATATTAACTGTCCAAAGCAACTCCAAGACAAACTTATAAAACGTTCTAGTATTCGCTCTCGCTCTTTGAGAGATGACTCTTTACTGAATGTTCCTAATGCTAAGTCGGGTTTTGGTGAAAAAACTTTTGAATTCGCTGCTGTAAGAGACTGGAACTCTCTACCTAGGGATATCAGAACTATAACAAATCTCAGCACCTTTAAAAGTAAACTCTTTGAATTTTTATTACAAGAGGATCACAATCAACATAAATGCTCTTTGGCTTAACTGACTAGTTGAATTATTATTTTTTAAAATTAATACAAAATTCATAGAAAATATGTTATATATACTTTAAGGACTGTGTTATAATTTATTTATTCTTATTATTTATAATTTCTTATTTTACTATTTTGTATCATGATATTTTTAGTCCTTTTTTATGTATCTATTATAATTTTATTATATACAGATTTTATACTATATATATGCACATGGGCTAATACCAGATAATCTTTTTAGTCTATATGATCCATTATTTTGCATCTCAAATAAAGCTTATTATTATTATTATTATTATGACTTTCAAAAATAAATTTAAAGACTTACACTGAACAGTTAATTTTGCTGAGGTGTTGACTTGTCCCAGCAAACTCTCTGCCTTGCAGCTGTACTCTCCGTCGTCCTCAGGTCTAACGTCTTTTAGAATCAGTGTACCACTGGACTCTACCATGTGACGTCCAACAGGAAGCGATGATCTCACCTTAGACCACTTCACTTTTGGCCTTGGGTTACCACTCACTTTACATTTCAACATGGCCGTCTGACTTTCATTGGCTGTCATTCCAATGGGTCGCTCAGTCAGAGATGGCGCTGAGAGGGACTCACCGGGCTTACCTGTGGCTCCTTTCTCTCCCGGTGGCCCTCGCGGTCCCAAGGGACCGGGGCTCCCTGGTAATCCGACATCCCCCTTTACTCCCATCGGTCCCGGTGGTCCTATAGGTCCATATTTACCAGATGGCCCTTCTGGGCCAGTTCTTCCGGGAGGACCCAGTTTCCCTCGGTTTCCCGGTCTTCCTCGTCTTCCTCTGTTACCTTTTGGTCCTGCTTGGCAAAGTGTGTGATTTTTTGCGCAGAATTGGTTTTGCAGCAGACCAAGCTCTTGTTTGATCAGCTTTTGCACAAAAGAGAATGCTGGGGAAGAGTTTTGTTGTAAATCGTCCCGTGTTAAGCGTTTCTTT